GGAAAGGAAGTTGCCTAATAATTATGCACACCTGATATAGGGTGTTGATGTCATTAGACCACACCCCTTCTCATTACAGAGATGCACATCACCTAATATGCTTAATTGGTAGTAGGCTTTCGAGCCTATACAGCTTGGAGTAAGACAACATGCATAAAGAGGATGATGTGGTCAAAATACTCATTTGCCTAATAATTCTGCACTCCCTGTATAACTGTAACCTAGTATATTCAGTGTACCTAATGTGTGTTAGACCCTAGAGTGTCTCCTCAAGACACATTGCTCTTCCTCCTATTTATTAAGCTCAAGATTTCACCACTTGTAAAGTCTGATTGGGCATTGAGTTTACAGATACATGCCCTGACATGTTGAAGTATTTGCCTTTGTTAAATGGTACAATGTATCTATTGTTCAGCTCGTTGTACAATACAAACTCACCAGATGACATACTTTAACAAACTATTCCCCAAAATGAAGTCACAATAAGTTTTGTGAACTTGCCATTCTGATGTCGGCTCATGTGATGATACAAAGTGTGATATAATGTATCGATGGGCTTTCACATTGCCCTGCTGGGTGCAGCTGATGTTTATAAACTATTACAGCATAAATTAAAATATAATAATGATAAAAGATCAGGGGGATAAACATCAAGATGGGCAGAAGCAAAATACGAGTGTACTAATATAGGTTTCTTTATGTTGCAAATGAATGTAACTAAAACAGTTTATTAAATAGTGCAATACGTAGGTAACAAGGTAAAGCGTATTGTATAACAAAACCAGACAAACCACTCACTGCTCTGTGAAATTGGACTAATCTCTAAAATCAAGATTGCACATACGGATAGTACTCAGTTAGCAGCTCCCAGGAATTGGCTGCAAAGACTATGGAATTAAACTGACAATATAGGCTGGAATTAACCTCATCTTTGTAATATATTATATAGATGGTGTATTAACAAATTTAAAAATATATTTTTTTTAAAAGTAAAAAAGATGCTCTTTTAGGGAGAGCTCCTAATCTCAGCTCGTTACCTGAATAAAAGACACCTGTCCACAGAAGCAATCAATCACATTACAAACTCTCCACCATGGCCAAGACCAAAGAGCTGTCCAGTGATATCAAGGACAAGATTGTAGACCTACACAAGGCTGGAATGGGCTACAAGACCATCGCCAAGCAGTTTGGTGAGAATGTGACAACAGTTGGTGCGATTATTCGCAGATGGAAGAAGCACAAAATAACTGTCGGTCTCCCTCGGTCTGATGCTCCATGCAAGATCTCACCTCGTGGAGTTTCATGATCATGAGAACGGTGAGGAATCAGCCCAGAACTACACAGGAGGATCTTGTTAATGATCTCAAGGCAGCTGGGACCATGGACACCAAGAAAACAATTGGTAACACACTACGCCTTGAAGAACTTAAATCCTGCAGCATCTGCAAGGTTTCCCTGTTCAAGAAATCACATGTACAGGTCTGTCTGAAGTTTGCCAATGAACATCTGAATGATTCAGAGGAGAACTGGGTGAAAGTGTTGTGGTCAGATGAGACCAAAATCAAGCTCTTTGGCATCAACTCAACTCGCCATGTTTGGAGGAGGAGGAATGCTGCCTATGACCTCAAGAACACCATCCCCACTGTCAAACATGGAGGTGTTTTTCTGGTAAGGAGACAGGACAACTGCACCGCATCAAAGGGACGATTGTCAGGATTACAGGATGATCCAGCACGTAGAATTGTGTAACACAGAGGACTGATAGGTAACGTATACCGGACCTTAGAATGGCCGGACTAACGTACCAAAGAATAGTCAGGAATAACCGAGGTCAAGGGATACAGAAAGAGACACAACGATAAGGAAAAGCCAGGAGTCAGGGATGCCAGAAAACAGGGAAGTCAAAAACAATGCCAAAGTCAAATAACCAGAATAACCAGAATCAATAACGCGCTCACGGACAACCACAAGGGAAACCACTACAGGGCACTGAGCAGGATGAGAACTTGGCCCTTAATACCCCTCCTCTAGGTCTGATAGGCTATAACCGGCCTTTGACCCCAAAGGCAGTTACCAGGTTCCCATTTGCATAATTGCTGTTCAGCATTAACCCTTCTGTGGATTTGGTTGCTGCTCGGCACAACTTTTCCTGTGTGGACAGTAAATGCCATTAACCACATTTTTATAAGCGGATGAATACGTGACAACGATGGACTGGGCTATATAATGCCAAATCTTGGGTGAGAACCTCCTTCCCTCAGCCAGGGCATTAAAAATGGGTCGTGGATGGGTATTCCAGCATGACAATGACCCAAAACACACAGTCAAGGCAACAAAAGAGTGACTCAAGAAGCACATTAGGGTCCTGGAGTGGCCTAGCCAGTCTCCACCTTAATCCCATAGAAAATCTGTGAAGGGAGGTAAATGTTTGAGTTGCCAAACTTCAGCCTCAAAACCTTAAGGACTTGGAGAGGATCTGCAAAGAGGAGTGGGACAAAATCCCTCCTGAGATGTGTGCAAACCTGGTGGCCAACTACAAGAAACTTCTGACCTCTGTGATTGCCAACAAGGGTTTTGCCACCAAGTACTAAGTCGAAGGGGTCAAATACTTATTTCACTCATTGACATGTAAATCAATTTATAACTTTTTTGACGTGCATTTTTCTGGATTTTTTTGTTATTCCATTATACCATTAAAATTATAGACTGATCATTTCTTTGTCAGAGGGTAAACATTCAAAATCAGCAGGGGTTCAGTTACTTTTTCCCCTCACTATAAGTGGCAACTTTCAGTATTTTACAATGCGATGTCCTATTCAGTCATGTGCTCAAGACTTAAAGCTCTCTACGATATAACAGCAACTTAAATTGCTTAAATGTAGTCTTGATACGGTGAAAATGTGGTTTACTTTCTAAATCATAACTTAAACCCTGAAGCATCCTCATAAAAGTTTGAGTACCAGAGAAGCATGATGACTCAGGAATAACATTTTCTTCAAATTCTTAAAAAAAATGTGGTTTTAATGACAGTGAATTCTTGCGGTCAGAAGAATGCATGGAGTTTGTACAAATTCTTTCATGCAACTTTGGAATTTGTGCAAGATTCCCGTAATACAGAATCAAAATTAAGAATACGTTCAGGGCTTATGTACTAAACAAGGAATGTTAGTGAATTAAATAGAATAAATCTGGCAAAAAGAGCTGATCTGGAAAAATTCCCTGACTGGTATAAACACTCCTTCCTTATTTTATACTAAATAGCACAGTTCTGTTTTCCAGGTCACTGCAATTCACTATTTAGAGAATAAGCCTCGCAGTGAGAGGAAGAACGCGTGAGAGAAAATAAGAAGTGGCTATGGGGCTCTTCTCTGTGGGACAGAGTGGAGCCGGATTATAATTGTAATGCATTGCTTGGCATTTCCTACGTCTAGTGCGCAGTTTTCCATTCTGTGCTAACAGTTGTGAACAGTATTATGTTTCTGTAGAAAGAAATTGCTTGTAATAATGTGTAATAATGTTTCAGATACAAACGTCTTTTCCTGATTATGTTAGTCTGTTTCTTATTTTTATAATCTATTATCAGGCCCGGCAGTGTTTCCTAAATGTAGGTGTGGTGCTGACAGTTATATTGCTGGTACTTCAAGTGCCGCTATCCGATTTAGAGTTTCATCGCTCGGGACAAGGTGAGGGGCACAATGCAGTTGTAAACACTAAACACAGAGTCAAGAGTGATATCAGAATAATTCTAAATGAGACATTTACTACAAGCTAGGTCCGTCAAACAGTACGTATTCTAGTCTTTCCAACCAGGTGTTGGAGGTTTCACCAGTTTTGACGCAGGCCCTTTCAATGTCATCAACAAAAGGTAATTAATATCCGGGGCTTGATTAATGATTTAAATCGTGTTTCTGGATTGAGACAATCTGTAACCTTCACCCTAGAGGTGGGTTTCTTAGACCAGTTCTCAAGACCCACCAACAGTCCAGGTTTTGTCAGTATCTCAAATGGAACAAAACAGGGAAATACATAAATCCTAGACTGTTGGTGGGCCATGAGTTCTGGTTTAGGAACAACTGGTCTAGATTAATGTCATGGTGCCACCATGCCCAACACATCACACTAAGGTAGGAAAAGAGAATGGAAAGAAGTGAATTACTGATCACTAGAATGCAGACACAGATTAGTAGCAGCCTCATTAACAGGCGAAGGAATAGTCTGAGAACAAGCTGAGGTCTAGCTAAATAGTGAAAGGTGCGCAAATGATAAGTGAAGCCAAAGTCAATCAGTTTGGAGTTCAATTGTGCCAAAAAAACACAAGAAGCAATACGCACTCTCAGACCACAACAAGGTAAATCCAAGACAGCACTATACATCCTGCAGACTGGGATTAAATAGCCCTTAGAGCTTCTGGTGTCATTCATGCAACGCCAAACAACATGTGGATGATATTGCACAGAAAATGCATCACAACTGACGTAGAGTTATTGAGCGTCATGAAAGGACGGCAGAACGGCACCTGACGTTAACTCTAAATGACCCAAAGATCAAACATGAATGTTAAATTAATGTCTTTTTACTATTAATTACTCTACAAAACAAGAAAATAAAAAATTAAAATCAACCATAACTAGTTCTAACCTTTTTCCATAATTTAATTTAAATGCTATTATAGATTTAGCAAACTGACATTACAATCCACATATCTTCTGTATACATTAATAAATGGGAAAAGACCTTGACTGGTAGTCAGTCAAGCCTACTGCAAACGTCAGTTCAGAAATGCTATATGATATCAAGTGTTTTAATAGAGCTAACACATGTTGCAAATGAATAGGCTTTTGCACAAGCCATGTTGCCAATGTTATCATGTTACCTTTGTCAAGATGAACAAATAAAGAAAAAAAAAAAAAAAAAAGTTTTTCTCGGAGCTGGGCAAGTTGTTGTTGGAAGCTCACAATTCTATTTTGGACGGGGCTTCCCCTCCACCTACTTTACCACAGCAAGCATCACCCTTCTACCTAAAGAGCGTAGCTGTAACTGCTACAGCTACTGTCTGAACACACAGCTGAAGCTTCTGTCTAAGGCGCTGGCACAGCGCTCGACTCCATCTCTTCCTACTATTATCAGCCCAGATCAGAAAGGCTTCATCTCGGTAAGGAAGTTCGGGACAATATCATGTGGGTCCTGCACTTAATGCACCAGGCACGACAGGGAGGCGTCCTGGTCTTCCTGCTGTTGACAGATGACGAAAAGGCTTTCAACAGGGTGTACTTGGCATTCATGATCGCCACTCTGCACTTGGGCCTCTGTATGCTTGCCTTTCTGCAAGGCTTCAAATCAATGGCATTCTGTCAGATTCCTTTGGGATTTAGAATGGAATCTTTCCTCAGCTAGATCAGCCATTGTGGCAGAATAGAGGGTTTTCAGGTCCAGGATTTGAAGTACAAAATCATCGCATATGCTGATGATTTATTATTCTTCACCACACCACCTTACCATGCATTCCAGAAGAATTTGCCATATACTAAATTTCTCCCCCAATTTGACCCTGGTGGTAAGTGAGATGGGATCAGATACGGTTAATGGGCGAGTCGGAACAGTTAAAATATCGATTCTGCATCACATTCTTTTCCTATTTCAAAACACTCCCCAATTCACATTCCCCCTATCTTTTTCAAATTACTATGGATGGAAATTTGCTAATTTGTGTGACGTAATACCCAGGGCCAGTTCTGCTGCCTAATTTTAGGTTCTCCCACCACCTAGACTGTTAAATCTAAAGGTAACCCATTTATTCCTGCACACTCTCACCCATGCCCACATCGCACATTACCTGAATGGAATTCCTCAAAAACATTGCCTCACATGTGAGGTCACTTCCTTCGAAACCCTCTGTGGGCAGGAGTCCCCTCCTGCTAGCTGTATCTCAATTATATTATTATTATTATTTATAAAGTGCCAACAAATTACATGGCGCTGTACAATAGGTGGACTAACAGACCTGCATTTGCAACAAGATGAGCTGAACGCACAGGAACAGAGGGTAATGAGGTCCTTGCTCAAGCGAGGTTACATTCTAGAGGGAGTGAGGTAAAGTGGCAGAAGAGTAAGAGAAGGATGTGTTTTATGTACGGAAAAAAGTAGGTTGCTGAACCAGTGAAGGTTAGGTGGGTTTTTTTTGCAGGAGAGGAAGCAGGGTGGGGAGGGAGGAAGAGCTATTCATTTATTACTCAATAACCAATACTCCCTTTCCCCACCGTGTACCAACCAAAGTGGGAGCACAATCTACAGGTTGCTATTGTCCAATATTTTTTACTTTGATCCAGAGAACTTCACGTCCAACCAGACTACAGGAGGTGTCTTATAAGCTCTACACAAGGTGGTATCCGACCCCAATGGCCCTTCATTCTAGAAACTCAGAACTGAGTGGAAGTGACCGGGACCTGTTGCATATTTGATGGGGCTGGTCCAATATTGAGATGTTCTGGAAATACATTTTTCATGTTCATTAAAGACTGATGGACGATACACTAGCTTTTGAACCTGCGGAAATGCAATTGAACCATACACCGTTATCAATTGGCCCCTATAAATGCCAAGTTGCTCAACGCAGGAAAAGCAACCATCACAGTCTTTTGGTGAAAAACCTACTCACTATTTTTGAGAAGTAAGGGGGCTTTCTGCAACATAGACAGCAGATCCCATGGCACCTACCTACATGGTATCCCCCCTCCCTTGTTTCCCCTCCTCTCACACAAACCATAATTTGTTGCTTTTTTCCTCCTCTCTCCTTCTCTTCTTCCCACCCCCATTTACTCTACTTTTCTACATTCTGCTCCTCTTTCTCCCTACAAATTCTCTTCCCTTATCCCCCTCTTTATTCGGCACCAGAGATCTGATTCCATATTCCTCGGGTCTCTCACTTTCTCACTCATGTCTCTGCACTTCTATATTTCCCATAACATTTTCTGCGTTTCCACTTTCTCTTTCTAAAGAACACACTAGCAGTAGTACCTTCCTGATTTGCATACACTGCCCTGTTGGCTTTGGTCTCAGGCAAGTTATTTTGGAGACACCAACATCACCGGCTGTGCACGAGGCATAATCACAATCCGCAAATGGATATTTTTTTCTTTTCTGGAATCATTTTGCAACAATACACATCTGAACTAGCACACTTTGCTACGCGGTAAACGTTGCTGTATTCACCTTTATATATTTTCTTTTAGTATTGTTAATTTACATTCCTTCTGACATGGCCTATTAGGACCTTTTGTTCTAATACAAACTGTGATGTTAACTTGTTCTGCTGATCTCTTTCAATAAACTGACATTGAATACAATCTTAAGCCACATCAGAAGTTCCACAGACAAAGAGCTCTCACTATGATTTTCTTCCAAAAATCTCGATTTTAATATAACAAAAGGATTTGACGTTTCCGCCCTTCCACGGGACCTTTATCAAGATATAGATATATTCACTTGTCCCTTTGAGGCTTGTTGTTCGTGCTGTGAGCTCTGGCCAGATCTAATACCATCACACTGTGAAATGATGAATCTAGATCCTGTGTCTCCACATTAAACATAATTTCTAACTTAACTATCTTTTAACTTGGACATTAAAATATGTCAAAAAGCCTTCAATCACCCGGTTCTTGGACATGTGTAAAGATAATGCCTTTTATAATCATGCATGTCCTTCTGGCATTAAAAGGGTTAACCCTGAAAAGTTTCCAGGCCTCGTGTTCTCGTTACAGCTCGATGTTATATACCCAACTGATCAGCCAATTAACCGCCTTAAGAGTAAAGGTGTACAGGCTGGATCTGTTACAATTGCCATTTTATCCAGCACTGATCACGTATCAGCCCAGAGCAGAAACGCTTACACGAAGTGAAGGACATGGAGCGTTTATCATGCGCCGCTTGAAAAGAGCGGAGATTAGAAACAAAATAGCTTTCGTTCTGCTATCTGATGTAACAGGCAGCAATTGGTAATATTACTGGCGAATGGCGTGGTGGCGAGCCTGCAGTGACGGCTGTTAGAAGTTCACTGAAACAAAATAATATTGCTGTTCCTGACTAATGTGGTGTGCATCAGACTTCGTCCACTCAGAAGGAATGCTCTGCCTTCAGCCAGCTGTGTAATAGGCTGTATAGTGATCAAGCATTCATACTGAGGATTTATCAGAAGAAACATAGTAGCCGCATTTAGTTCTCCTGTTTAGAACTCTAGCCGAGTCCTGCTAACGTCAGAGCAGAACAATTTGTCCCTTAACACTAGGTGTAGTACTGGTGTAGTTGTCACAATGTATTCCACGTTGTCAGTATTGTTGTAATCTAGCTAGTAACAGTTGTGATGTATTGTGTTTTTCATTTTTTTTTATATAGATGGCTTCAGTTATTATGGTTTGATTAATTTAATTTCACTTTGACTTTACCAATGGCTGCAGAAAGGAGCAGCTAGGGTATTTAATGCAAACCAACCCATCATTAATCGCTTATTGGAGGCAAACTCCCAAAAAGACTCCATACTAAATTCCATGTGAGTGTCTCTGAAAGTCAATATGGCTTCAACAACCCCAGGCTGACACAGAAGACAATAAGACCACAAGCAAAGATCAAAGACCTGTATAATCTCATCCATAAAAAGAACGTATCATAAAGCTAATAAGAGGGAACACATTGGGAAAGAAAAAAGAATCAGAATTTAGGGTAAGGTCTGGTACAGGTTGAGGTGAGGTTAGAAGACTTTGTAAAAGGCTTTAGCTATGTGAGATTTACATTTCAACTGATTACTTTAATGTCCCAGATGTTGCAACAGGTTGAAAAATGAAAAATGTGAATGTCAGAGTGATACTTTTTCAATAAATTATCACTTTGGGGTGATCTGAAGACAACTGCAACATCTTGTTTTATTCGATTAACTTTAACAGCACAAGCGTTAATGATTAATTTTAATATAGTTTAGAGTGAGTCGATAAAAAGCAACATTTATTTCATTTAATTTATGTATATATAAATTTAACCTTATTTATCCCCACCCAACTCATGTTGCACCCCAGAATGTCCTAAACCTTACTTTACCTAGTCAAGCAAACAGAACCATGGCTCAGAAAGTTTCGAGACAGAGACAGACTCCATGATTCATAGGATAGGCCATTTGATAGCCGTATGTTATCACTAGATTAATTATTCAAATATACCAGCTATGAAACTAGCTCAATAAGTCTGCCACACAGCGCCATATTTGCAAGATTAAGATTCCCGGCTGGAGCAAGAATTACTGTATTTTGTTTTCTCTTGCAGTACCAAAAACTTTAACACATCGATGGCTGCAATGCAGACGATAGCCTCAATTTAATATTTTTGGACAAGCTTTCTTCAAATATTTTTTTTTTAAATATTTGAAATTTTAAAAAAATCATATATTAAAAATTATATCAATATATCTAAATATACATATATATATAAATATTTTTCATAACATTAATTAATTTATTTTTTAAAGTTTTTCAAAAAATGTTATATCACCTTTAATTCAACAGATTTCTATTTAAACTCTGCACTGCTAGATTTAAAAATACACTTTTTTTCCATTGAAGTGTGAATTGTCAGAAATTTAAAGTGAATTCAACACTAATTTCAACTATTAGGCTAAAAAAAGCTGAATAACAAAAATTCTTCAAATGAGCTATGTTTTCACTTTAAATTTACACTTTATTGAAAAGTGTTAGATCAAATCAGAGTTAAAGGGACCCTATAGTTACCAAAACAACTTTAGCTCAATTAAGCAGTTTTGGTGTATTCATAATGCCCCTACAATCTCACTGCTCAATTCTCTGCCATTTAGGAGTTAATCACTGTTTATGCAGCCATAGCCACACCTCCTTGCATGTGACCTACACAGCCTTTCAAAACACTTCCTGTAAAAAGTTATCTAATGTTTACACTTCCTTTATTGCACAGTCTGTTTAGTATTTCTTATCTTCTGCATTGTTAATCGATTGCTAGAGTTTGTAGGAGCCTCCTGTCTGTAACAACAACATAAACTTGCCAAGGTTTTCTCAGGTCAAGTAGTGGCCAATCTGCTCTCTTTAAGTAAGAAACTACCTTTATTCCCAGCAACCTTTATTAGTATAGGACGCCATATTG